ACTGCATCAGCCAATCTTCACTCTGTACACCTGTGTGCACATCATCTTCCTTGGACCATTTGGCTAATCGCCTATGTTGAAAGCTGAGTCACAGTAAATTATGTCAGACAACAAAATAATATTTCAAGTGCCTGTTTGGAGTCTCACCTGCTGACGTTTTATGAGTCAAAGAAAACCATGTGGCTAAGCCCAAAATTAAGCTGTAACATAGTTATCTGCTCTGGTAGAGCTGAAATGTTATGGGTCAGGAGTATAGGGCGACCTGAAGAATTCAGCTCAAAATCTGCGAAAGATTGATGAAAGCATTTACCTCATCAAAAACATCCTTCCTTGATAATGTCAGATAACTCAACTCAGATAACAGATAATCCAGGACTATGATAGGTTTTACCAAAGTTTTAAAATAAATGATAGATCATTGGATTGCTTTAAGCAAATAACTGGTTGAGATTAAATATAATAACTTGCCTTTTCTAACTGTGTGTTACCAATCATGATAAAGATTTACAAGAAAAGAGTAAGAAGAGATGCATGTGTTGTGGTTCTATTAGTTTTTTGATCTAGGATACCTGTCTCCATCTTTCTGTATTCTGTTAATTCGAACATCCCCCAATTCTAGGGAAGTTAGCTCTTTCCTGCACTAATCATCACTGTGTCATATCAGGTTTCTTTCTTTTTTCTTTTTTAAATCAACTTTTCAACACATATTTAAATAATTTCCTTTCATAACCTCCTAGTGAGGTTTATATTTTCCCAAATGAGCCCAGATTAGTAGTGGTAATTTTTTGAAATAAACCTTCGAAGATGAGTATTTGGACATATCCTTGGTCTTGAAGGCAGTGCTAAGCACCATGCAAATAAAAATGGAATTCCAGTAACCCATAGTCTGCAGTAACAGCATGGTTTATTAAATTAGCCTTTTGAATGATTGTGATAAAGTGGTCCCTGAATGAAATATCTTGAAAAATCACGTAGCTGATGCAGAATTCTTGTCATGGAAAACATGGTGGCCACAAGAAATGGGAAGGAGAGGGGTATGGATTCTGGATTCTTCTGATTGCCCTAGAGAACTTACAGAAAAAAAAAATCCAAAATTCTGGGCATCAAAACTTTGGCAGAATTAACCGTAAGAGAACCTGAAATATTTTTGATAGCCCCAAAGAATCTTCCTTTTTCTAAGCCACTGGGAAAATTTCCTAAATTTCATTGTGATAAAATTACGTGTCAGAAATTATATACTTCTCAACGTGTGCTAATAATTTTGTTGATGATGTGGTCTGCAGAGATCTGGGGTACCCCTGGCATTCCAGTCTACTTTGCTATTTCCTTTTATTGTCTGTCAGAGTCTGTTGGTTATAGTCAATTTTTCTATCCCAAGCAAATGATAGATTTCTCCCTTTTGAAAACATTTTTTTTTTAGCAATTTGACTGGGTTCATATACGTTTTCTAATATCTCTCTAGCTTTGAACCTCAACATCTCTCCTGAAAAGTAATTTCCTACAGCTTCATTTTCCCCTCTTTTAATTTCTCCTTTGTTTTCTCTCTCTGCAGCCTATTGCTGTAGAAAAGAAAAAAAGACAAATTCTATAAATAAATGCGTTTGCTCATTTATCACTTGATCAAGAATGTTTGGCACCCACTGGTTCAATAAATCTTTAACTTTTGAATTTTGCAGTACTTAATTGAAATATTTCTATATTTTTAACACTCAAAGATAGCATATTACACATAATTAAGACATCCATTTTTTAATTTATTTAGATAATGCAATCCCCAAACCCTCTCTTGGGACAGCCATAGTCTGGGTTTCTGAATCTAAAAACACCATCAGAATTTATGAAATTAAGGTCTTGAAGTTTTAACAAAACCACGCATTGGAGGATGAAAACAAGTTATATCACACACACAGTTCTTTCTTTAACTAAAACCTGCATGCAATTCTGAACAAAATTTAGAGGGTAAAAATTTAGAATTATAGCATGACAATATATAAAATTAATAGTATTAAAAGTAGGACTTGTTGCACTAATTTTTTTTTCTGCCCACATGGACTTCAGCTATCTGACTCTTTCAGTTTTGCTCTATAATGCAGATAGAGAAATTTGTAAAAGAAAAAAAAATCTGTAAATAGAAAAAAAAGTCTCTGTTTCAAGTGATCTTTTTAAAAATAATCCTTTGGTTGGATTTAAAAGCATTTTTAATGATTTAATCCCTGACAAGCTTTTAGTTGAAAGATCAACTGCTTTTACGTAGGCCAACCAAGAGATGCTCAAGCAGGTAAGCAGATATTGTCTTTTTTCTTAGCCACTCCATATTAAAAATAGCTTACGCTTGTAAATGTGAACTTCAATTAGGTGCTGAGTTTTGGACTACCACTTTGGTTTAATCTTTCAATATTAGCTGCAGAATAATTATCAACCCCTTTAAACAATACGTGTAGCTTTTGTTTTCCGACACCCCTACATATGCACGTATCTCAGGACTTCCTAATCAGGAAAGTATGTAGTGTAATTGTATTGGGTCAATATTTAACATGGCTTTCTTTCTTGATATGCAACCTAGAGGAGTAGATGCAGGAATTACACAGATGAATTTAAGACATTGTTGCTATGACCTCTGTGGCTGTACTGAAGGGAGACAGTTGGACCCATGACCATGATCAGGATGCCTAAAATACCCCCACTCTCCCAACCCCCAACTCTTTCAACCCCCAGCAGAAAGCATGTGCATTCCGGATAGAACAAAAAACATCATGAATCTATATAAATACACATCCAGACATAAGACTAAATAAACACATCCTATCAGCCACAATTATGTTAAGATCATTAGAAAACATATTGTAAATTTTTTATGATTTTAAGAAGTATCATCTCTATATTGTGATCAATATTTTTAAGGCATAAGCAACATGTCAATGAGTCAGTTACACTCTAAGTTGAAGAAGAGGTAGTTTGCGTTAATTATTTTCTTTGTACCTCATGACAGTAAACTATGTCAGAATTCTCCAAGGTCTATGTCCCCAAGGTTAGGCAGTTAGATATAAAACAAATAACACAATCATAGAGTATAATTTCTAGGTCTGTCTATTCCTCAAGGGTATCTCCCTGCTCCCTTCACAATTTCCTGATAGTTGGAAAAATGACATTTTTTGGTATCTTTATTAATTACATTTTGTAAGAATCATCAACTTTTTGATTAAAAGACTGGAAATATTTAAACAAAATTTTCAATTTTGAGACAGAGTGTGTATGCAGCTTATTCGTCCTAGCAAGGAAGCCATCAATAAACATACATCAGGAAAAGATGGCATTTGGTGAGTTGATTCAGCTTAGGATCATCTTTCATTCTGATCTCAGGGATTTTGGAATCCAGCAAATTCTTGGCAGGGGAAATGTGTGTGAGCCAAGTCAAGCAATATTTACTTAGTTCATGGCTTATGTTCAGTAGGCTAATTTCTACTTTTATTATCTGAGGACCATTGTCCTAAAACTGAAAATATGTCTCTGATCACTATGTTAAGCCCATTAGGGGCTAATAGAAGAAACGGTAAGTGTAAGTCTTATCCTAAAAAAGTGATATTATTCAGAGAAAAAGCTAATGCACATTCAAATGTGCATGCATACACACAGAAACACATACACGCATAATAAATAGCAAAATATGCTAGGCATTGTGTAAATATAATGATGTTATATGTGAAAAGAAAGTGCAGTAAGAGAAACATTTAAACAGCAAAGTTTTCCTGGAAGAGTTAGGTAGTAATTTGTGAAATGGTGATACAATGGGGGGAAAAGTGGGATCTCAGTGGGATAAATGGTTGAAGATTGGAAGATGTGAATGACTTGGTTTTGTATGATAAAGGTTTAAAATAGTCTAGGGAGGGTATACTCAGTAGTGGAGCACATGCTTAGCATGCAGGAGGTCTCAGGTTCAATCCCCAGTACCTCCATTAAAAAAAAGTATTAAGTAGATATCTAAACCTAATTACCCAACCCCCCAAAATAATACTTCTATGAGTTAAGCAGTTTTGTATTGACAACAGGATGTGGTTAGGTAGTTCCTAAAAGTATTACAGAAATCTAAGCTGAAACA